TAATGAAAATGCGTGTCTTGTGTTGCTTGATTATAGCAAGGCTTTCAATACAATTCATCATGCTACTTTGTGCTGTAAACTTAAATATTTTGGACTTGATCACAGAGTTGTTAACATTTTTGAGGATTATTTGTCAGGTAGACGTCAAAAAGTTGTTGTTAGTGGAAATTCTTCTACTTTAATTAATATTACTGTAGGAGTGCCGCAGGGTAGTGTGCTTGGTCCCCTGTTTTCAATCTATACTGCAGACCTACCGGGTGCGGTTAGAAATGCCAATTTGCATCAATATGCAGATGATTTTCAATTATATTTTTGTTTTCCGCTGGGTGACCTGGATAATTCAGTTCAAAAAATAAATAGTTATTTAAATAATATCTTGATATTGTCTCAAGCACATGGTTTAGTTTTAAATGGAACGAAAACGCAGCTTCTTGTTGTTGGTAAGAATAAAGATTTGATCTCGAATGATTTTCGTTTTAAAATTTCTGTTAATGGAACAATTCTGAATCCTAGTAATGACTGTAAAAACTTAGGAGTGTATTTTGATCGAGATCTTAGGTTTTCCACACACGTTAATTTTTTATTGCAAAAATCTTATGCTAAATTGCGATCCCTTTATGTTCACAAAGATTACTTAACAGTAGATGTAAAATTAAAATTATGTGATTCCCTAATTCTTAGTAATATTGCTTACTGTGACACAGTTTATTGGCCGCTATTTTGAATAAAGATTAAGAAAGCCTGCAGATACATGCAAAATGCATGTATTAGATTTTCCTATGGATTACGAAAATATGACCACATTAGTGACACATTTAAATAGTCTAAGTGGCTTAATTTAAATGAGCGTTTCCAACTGCACATGGCATGTTTGGTGTTTAAGCTTAATAAGTCTAAAAGACCCAAATATTTATTCAAAAAATTAATTAAATGTAGTGATGTCCATAGCCGTTCAACTCGTTACAAAGACCTTTATGTCGTACCTATGCATGCCTCTGCTCTATTTCGCAGATCTTTCTCTTACAACGCTGTACATATTTATAACAACCTACCTCCTACAGTTAAATCAGCTAGTAACTTTATCAGTTTTAGAAGACAGGTCAAGGCCAGTATATTTGAGAGGAGAATTTAATTTTTTCTTTTTTTTTTATATATAATTTAGCTTTTGATATTATTCGCTGTCTAGCATTGAGTTCACGCCTGTGTGTGGGTGGACATATGTGTTTATGATATTGTTTATGTTACACACACACTTTAACGTGTTAGGCGGTTAGATGGAAGAGCAACTCTGTTGAATCTCGCCGTCTTTTGTTTGTTTTTATAATTTCATTGTTATTGTAGAGAATAAAGACATATTATTATTATTATTACATTTTCTTAAAGCAACTGTTTTTCACTGTTTTATTAATTGGAGATAAACCACTCAGAACATTGAATTCTAAAATATACTGTAACTTCTATAAAATAGATGCTTCTTGTAATATCATCTTTCTTAATATACTTTATATATAGAATTATGATTATGGTATAAAGACAATACATTGAAAAA